TTTCAATAATATGCAAGACTAGTTTAACTGTGTTCGATTAAAACCACTGATTAACACAGCTAGTAATTAAAACTAACTCCATTTATTCAATGATTCATGAATGGGATTCACACTGTGGAGAAAAGAAAGAAAAGAAACATTTTTTTTCAAAGAAACTTAAATTACTACAATATCAGTATCATTAGAAGAAGAAAAACAAACGGGGGTTGCACTAGACAATTGTTTCATTTCATTAGAAGACATCTTACTTATATTTGAATAACCTAACCGTTAGACCAGTGAGCCGGTATCTAACGGTGTTTAAGTCTGACTTGATCAAATTCACGGAGTCGCGCCACCTTCTCCACAGTCTTCGGTAGACGATGCCTACACCCGTACAGGTTGAACTTCACTGGTCGCGTCTTCCCACTAGAACTCGGAGAAGATTCCCCACGAAGCTAGTCACCAGTGAGCACAGGTAATTTGCATTACGGAGTTGTGAAGATTGTTAAGTTACACATTTTGAAACAATGAATCGATCAATGTTAGACCACCAGGAGTCGTGGATGCGCACTGCTGAGGAGTCCCATAGCAGGACGAGACAGTCATCCAGTGCTTCCAGGTTTTCTTTCTTATGGCGGTCTAACAATGATCGATTGATTGTTTCAAAAATGTGCAACTTAACAATCTTCACAACCCCGTAATGCAAATTATATTTGAATTCTCATCAGTGCTGATGTATGACGAAATCACAGACCGGTTACAGAAGGCTCGACTGGTTTTTGCCAACTTGCAACACTTATGGCGTAGGTGAGATATCTGTTTGCTAACCAAAGGACGAGCCTACTGAGCTACAGTTCACTCCGTCCTAATTTGTGGCGGTGTGAAACGTGGCCACGAAGAAAAGATGACATTTGTAGGTTACTGGTTTTCGAATAAACGACTCTTGGAAGCATTGCTTGTGTATCCTAGGACCACCAAGTAAGCAAGGATGGCAAATCAATTGATGAATCAGTGTATCGACATCAGTTGGGATGGTTGGGATATGTGTTAGGAATGCCCAACTACTGACTGCCTTGACAAGCTACGATTTGCAGTGTAGGAGTAGGTTGAAAGAAGGCTGGGGACGGCCAGATCAAAACATGGCACAAATTCATAAAGTCAATGACAACTGGACTAAGCCATGTTAGTAAATGTAGACTTCCTGGTTGGAGTCCACTAGACGATAGTAATCGGTGGTTAGAAACATTGAATGAGATGGCTCAAAATGGTTTGGTATTTAGTGACATTGTGTTCAAGTTGTAACTCGGCCTGGAGCCCCATTGGGGCTACTGCCAGTTCCAAGACCAGATAAGGGAGAGGGTTGGGCAAGGAGTAGACCACCCCATCCTTTAGAAAACCAACTCGCTAAAAAAATACTAATCAGAAGAAATACTTCAAACTGCTTATAATCGGCCCTACGAATTGGAAAGTCTTCATTTAGAAGAATTATAATGTCCCATGATGAAAGCCCAGTTCTTTCGGAAGTCAAGTGTCGGATGACCCTTCTAAGAACCAGAGTAACCATTCATTTAGGTACATGGAATATTCGTACAATGTGGGAGTCTGGGAGAGTCATGCAGGATGCTGCATCTTTATGTTGTACTTAGATTTCGGAACTAGTATCCGAAAACATTAGATTAAACACGGATATTTAGCATTACTCTTAAAAACGTTCTAGTACAGCCGAGAGTGAAGAGAGTCCGTTCAACCTTTAGAAATCCTCTTATATGACCAAGTTTATTTATTCACCGGTAGGGAAGTCTTACTCACTCAGTGCCTTCTCGTATCAAGTGTGCTGTTTATGAAATTGAGAGAAAGAAAAGAGATGGCCCGACCGGAGCTTACAACGAGTCGGCGGATGAGTTGGAAAATCCTCATGTGCTTCAAGATCCTAATAGGGCGAATGATGTATGGACCTATTATTGGCTACCAGCTACCACGGAATATCATCTCTAGACTCTTTTACCGTTTTAAAGGATCAGAGAAGACCCCCTTAAAAAAATCCCACGTTCTTCGGTAGCAGTAAGTAACCCAGCTCACATATAAATCCAATGTTTGGGATTTAAGCGACACTTTGTACTATATAATTATGAGTTTAAATAATCATAAAAATAATAAACAGAACCTGGTAATGTTTATCAGTTATTATAATTGTAAATTATTGGGTATGTCAGATCCCCAGAACTCGCTTGATCAATATCTTTATTTTGGATTTACTACAAGTGACTGATCAGCTGACCTTCAGATCACATTTTCCACCAGGAAAATCCTTGGCTGCGATTGGTTACAGTGTCATTTTAGTGTGCTATTTTTGTGACTGTGCCAAGGACGTCTCTATAGAGTATAAATAAACACAATTTTAGTGCTTGGATTCATTGTATGCTGGCTGGGTGTTTGTAGAATACAATATCTACATTATATCAAGACATTTTGCTGTTTCAATTTGGTCAAAGGATCACAGTAGCCTACCTGGACGCTGGTTCATTATTTTGTTCTCGTCATTCGACTAAGGTGAACCCGTATTAGTTTCGAGCATACCTAGAGACGAGCGTAACAACAACAACATCATTTGATTAATTCTAACTTGCAATTGTTTTTAACTGTCAAATAAACACTCCTTGAAGTAATCAATTCCGATAATAGATCACCATAAGCACTAACTCGACTAGTATTGTTCAAGTTAAAGAGCTCGTGTAAAGTTAATGTACTACTACTTCGCTGGTACATCTTTCGATGACAGACATTGCCACAGTACTATTGTGCGACGCCAAAATGTGTGGCCGTATTCTAGGACCTGTCGAAGTGTGAATATCTGGTCTATATCTGTCTCGCAAATGGATAGGATTATCGTTCATTCACAATCCAGGTGATTGGATTGATGGGCAGTACACTTCAGAGATCAGTTCAACTGGCTTTCAGACACTGTCCGGTCTCCCGAGTTCTCCAGTCATCCTGAATGGCAAATCGATGTAAGTCCTCCCACGCTTCATGAAGGGGAGAAAGCGTTAGGAAATCTGAAGCGAGGACGAGCTGCAGGTCCTGATAGATTGACCCCTGAGATGTTTAAGGATGGTGGTCCAGTTTTAGCAGCTAGGTTAACTGTATCTTAGGTAGAATCAGGGAACTGGACACAATCCCAACCGACTGGTCTTAATCACTGATTGTCCCAATCTATAAGAAAGGATAAAAGTCTTCTTGTGAAAATCACAAGGGAATCAGTCTAACTAATATAATTTCTAAAATATTGACCTCAATAATACTTCGGCGCCTAACGAAAACTCGTGAAGAGCAAACTCGACAAAACCAGGCTGGTTTTCGACCTGGACGTGGTTGTATAGACCACATCTTCACACTCAGACAGGTCCTTGAAAACAGACACACATCTAGGCGTCCGACGATAGTTTTTTTTCTGGACCTAAAAGCGGCATTTGACTCTGTTGATCGTGAGGTTATGTGGCAGTGTCTGTCATTGAAAGGTGTTCCAGAGAAGTACATCAACCTTATACAAGCTCTCTACTCGAACACCACTGGTCGAGCGAGAGCTTATGGCAAAATGTCACCGGAATTCTTTACTTCAAGTGGTGTACGTCAGGGATGTCGACACTCTACCTTCTTGTTTAATTTTATCATAGACATGCTCCTTGATATAACTTTATCTTCGTCTGAATTTTCAGGAGTAGACCTTCTACTAGGTGGCTCGCTTATTGACTTAGAATATGCCGATGACATAGTCCTATTTGGTGAAGACGCTGACAAAATGCAGAGTCTTCTGACTACCCTGAGCAGCAATGCAAACATGTTCGGCATGCGGTTTCCCGCCCCGAATGCAAAATGTTGCTTCAAGATTGGGTTGCATCGGCAACTGAACTAGTGATAGGGAGTGAAGTAGTCTAACGTGTAGACCGCTTCACTTATCTGGGGAGTCTCATCAGTGCCGATAGCCTGATAACTGACGAAATCTCAGCACGGATGCTGAAGGCCCGGCTGGCTTTTGCCAACTTGCGTCAGCTATGGCGTAGGCTAGATATCCGTCGGCGATCCAAAGGTCGAGTGTACTGTGCAATGGTTCGCTCTGTCCTACTATACGGATGCGAAACATGGCCAGTGAGAGTAGAAGATATTCGTAGGTTACTAGTCTTCGATCATCGGTGTCTCTGAAGCACTGCTCGTGTGTCATGGGACGATCGAGTAAGCAACGCTGTCTTTAGGAAACGAGTTCTACGTAGGGATGGCAAATCAGTAGACGGAGGAGTTAAATTTTATCAGTTTAGGTGGTTAGGACATGTGTTACGTATGGCTAACCACCGACTGCCGTGACGTGCTATGTTTTGTAATGTAGGAGTAGGTTGGAAGAAAACTAGGGGCGGCCACACCAAAGCATGGCACAATTCCATGAAGTCACTGACAACTGGACTGAGTCGTGTCGGTAGATGTAGACTACCTGGTTGGGGTCCGCAACACGAAAGTCACCAGTGGTTAGAGACCTTGAACGACATGGCTCAGAGTCGTTTGCAACTGCGCAGGTGCATCCACTCTTTGTGTGCTTTTTAATTCTAACCTTCTGAATTCCTCATAATCTCTACCTTTCTCCTCCTTTTAAATTTATCTTACTGAATTATACTTCTCGAATCATATCTTCGCTCCCTGATCTTCTCCATTACTGCTAATACTTCTACCATTGCTATCACTCTTGGACTTGTAGTGACAGTTGCGTCTCTGTGCTTATGGGGAATGGCAACCTGAACTGATGTACTTATGTACGAAGTTCCGCGTTGTATCTGCCTTCGATTATATATATATATATATATATATATATTACATATTCAACAGTACCAATAGAAATGAACTCTAATAACTAAGCTTTAAACTTACTCAAATTATTCATCTGTTCATTTGGTCTCGAATACATAAGAATCATATATGTAAATGTAAATTTTTTATGATAAGATATTTTCATTTTACTGTTTTTTTCACTATCCTCATTGATTGTTAGTTGTTGTACAATTTGACTGAAGTGTATCAATCGCTGTGACACTATGACCACGACGATAATTATACGATAAAATTGTATTGAATGCATTCATAGAACAGGGTCGTCTACTGGGACCGCTCGAACGTGTACGTCGATTTGATGGTGGATGTTGTTGTTGAGGATGATAACGACGTCTACTAGTATGAGTACCACTATTATTATTATTATTACTACTATTGTTGTTATTATTTGTGGAAGGTTTTAATCGTTCCGAAATAAATTGTTGTATTGTATCTGTATCTCCTCTGCATACAGTTGACGACTGCATATTTCTAGAACGTCGTTCTATTATATGAGTTCGTCGATGGAATTCATTGGTTGGTTGACTATCATGTGGTTGTTGTTGTGGTTGTGATTGTTGACATGAATGTTCAGTTGATTGTGTAACAGTAGTATTCTCTACTGATTCAGTATTATTATTATTATTATTATTATTATTAGTATTATTGTTAATAGCAGTAGTAGTAGTGGTAGAATGAATTTTGATTGGTGAGTTAGGACGTATCTCTTCTAAACATGAAGGACATGTTAATGCACGCATTAACCAATCATCAATACAAATACGATGATATGTATGCAAACAAGGCAGATAACGCAACTCTTCACCTTCTTCATATTCACACATACATATGATACATCTGATTGGAAAATAAAAATTGAAGCGAGAAGAATAAAGGAAAAACAGTGTTAATCAAAACTCGAAAGGGGGGATGGGGGGATTGTGTAATATAGTCATGTATAGTTTTGATCTAAACTACAGCAACAGATATATAATGCCTCACTATATGGACGAAATGCCAAATACGTTTACAACGAAAACAGTATTGCCTATATTTAGAGCTCCGCCTGCAGCTATTCCGGAGTGACTGTCGGTCCAAAGCCAGGATAAAGGAGAAGGGTTAGGCATGAGCGTCAGCTACCTCATCTTGTTGAAATCCGACTCAATAAAATAAAAATGCTTACCAGAAAAATAACTTATTAATCGGTGGCCTATACTCCATTAGGAGTAAAAGGCGTATATAAGTAAGTAAGCAAGTCTATATATCTTTGATAAGTCTACTAAATAAACACAAGATCTGATCTTTGACACATAAAATCTACACATTGATCTAGATGTGAAGGCACGGATCGACAAAGCAAGGGCTGAATTTCTACGATTGAATAGTATCTGGAACTCGAAAAACTGTTTGTCAACAAACACCAAATTCACAATCTTCAATATAAGATGTCAAGATTGTTTTACTGTATGGAGCAGAAACTTGGAGACCTACGAAAGCCACCAGTCGGAAGATACGACGAGTGTTTACTGACAGTTGTCTATGCACATTACTTCGGATCCATTGGGCAGACACTATCAGCAATAACCTACTGCGGTAGAGAACAAACCAGATTTCAGGGAAAAAATAAATTAGGAGAAATTGCTAAAGACGTATAGGATACACATTGTGGAAATAACCCAAAACTTCAAACGGAATGCAAAAGGCAAAATCGATAGGAGGTAGACAAAAAAACACACAACATCATAAATTACAGGCAGAAATCAAAAGAATGAAGAGCGAATAACAACAACAACAACTAGAAAGGAGAGTGGAAGATAGAATTGATTTGGAGATTGTCGGTTGGTATCCTATGCTCCAGGAGCATAATAATAACGATTTGAAATTTCAAACATTGAATCAAAGTATATAATGTGTGTATTTCACAAAACATATAATAAAAATTTAAAAATTGATAAGTTCAACAAAAGTGTTAATTAATTCAGTAGAGGATTGTGTAATAACTAGAGTATTAACTCAAATATCAGTCAGTCAGACAGTCAGTTACAAAGTAGAACTTCGTACGCACATACATAAGTCCAGGTTGCCATAACATATTAGCAAAAAGATGTAATCGTCAATTCGAATCCCAATGTGGTAGAGGTAGTGGAATTATTAGTGGTTCGAGAAGTATAATCATCAAAAAATCATTGTTAGACCATTTCACATTAGAAACTTGAACAGTGGATGGCCGTTTCATGCATGGCATATAGGACTAGCTCATCAGTAGTGCGTATCCACGACTCCTGCTACTAGCAGAATATACATCTATCATTTTTAATGTTTTTAGTATTTAAAAATAAATTTATTCAAAAATAGTTTGTGATATAATGTGAATTTAAGTAATATTTCAAATGGTCATGTTGATTATTCGGTCAAGTGTACACGCATAGTCGTTTACTGAATTGTACACAATTCATAATTTCAGTTTCTTTTAAACTAAAATGTAGTCTAACACAATCTCTGCTTAAGTCAATCTTTTTATGATTGATATTGTGAATACTTGGATGTAAATATATTACATGAGATTGACATATTGAGTGCATATAACTGCAATGAAATGAAAAAGTACCACTTGGGACCGTGATAGAAATATATTGATTACCAAGTCGTAAATTAGAATAAATGAACTTCTGAGATGAAGTTCCTGGCAGCGTTGAAGAAGCTTTCAGTCATTTAAAAGTACTACATGTTCATATCTTTCAATGTTACATGACATAAATATGTTGTACAGTTTACATGACTTCGACAAATGTCAATATTCTGTTGAAATGACTGACTCGTACTAATAGATTCGGTTGGTTGATTGGTTGGTTGGCCCACGTAGATTGAATGAAATTTATTGTCAAAATCATATATACTACTACACTCAACTACAACGATTGGGTGTCCATAAATATGAAAGTGTTAAGTCAATGTATTCAAATCATCATTGTGACCATGAGTTTAATTCAAACACACAAAATTTTTTATGATCAAATTGACTGTGATCTGTAGTTTGATTAGTTGTATTCAACTTAAGATGTTAGTACTAGTGTGGTGTGCGCTACTTATAAGTAGTATATGACGCGAGTAAAAACGTAATGTCTGGCAGCAGAAGATGGGATAAGATCAAGAAAGGAAGAGTGGGAACACAATGGAATTTCTATGAAACGCATGAGTCAGTCAGTCAGTCAGTTGCAACGTAGAACTTCATACGTAAGTACATCAGTTCATGTCGCCATACCACATCAGCACAGAGATATAATTGTCAATTCAAATCCAATAGTAGAAGAGGTAGTAAAGGTATTAGAAGTAATCGGAGAGGTTAGGATTAGAAGATATTATTCGAGAAGTATGATTCAGTCAGATAAGTTTAGAAAGTAAAAAACTAGAGGGGTTGAAGAACCCAGAAGATTAGGATTCGAGAGAACACAAACAATAAATGCACTGGCGCCATTGCGAACGGTTTTGAGCCATGTCAATCAAGGTCTCTAGCCATCGATTATTATCATCTCGCGGACCCCAACCAGGTAGTCGACAATTACCGACATGGCTAAGTCCACTCGTCAATGACTTCATGGATTTATGCCATGTTTTGGTCTGGCCGCCCCTAACTTTCTTCCAACCTATTCCTACACTACAAAACAAAGCTCGACGAGGCAGTCGGTGGTTAGGCATACGCAACACGTGTCCCAACCACCTCAATTGATGAAGTTTCACCACTTCATCGATTGATCTGCCATTCTTACCTAGTACCCGTTTCCTAATAACAGCGTTGCTCACTCGGGTGTCCCACGATATACGAGTAATGCTTCGAAGACACCTGTGATCGAAAACCAATAACCGACGAGTATCTTCTACTCTCATTCGCCATGTTTCACAGCCATAAAGTAAGACGGAGCGAACCACTGCGCAGTACACACGTCCCTTAGTCAGCAAACGGATATCTCGCCTACGCCATAAGTGACGCAGGTTGGCAAAAGCCAATCGAGCCTTCTGTATGCGTGCTGAGATTTCGTCACACAACACGCCATCAGCACTGATGAGGCTCACCACATACGTGAAGCGATCTCACGCTCGACTACTTCACTCCCTATCACCAGTTCAGGTGCCGATGAAATCCAATCCTGAAGCAACATTTTGCATTTCGAGGGGCAAAAAGGCATCCCGAACATGCTTGCACTGTTGCTTAGGGTAGTCAGAAGACTCTGCTTTTTGTCAGAGTCTTCACCCAATAGAACTATGTCATCGGCATATTCTAGGTCAGTAAGCGAGCCACCTGGTAGAAGGTCTACTCCAGAAAATTCAGACGAGGATAAGGTTATTTCTAGGAGCATGTCTATGATAAAATTAAACAAGAATGGAGAAAGTGGACATCCCTGACGGACACCACTTGAAGTAAAGAATTCCGGTGACGATTCGCCATAAGCTCTCACTCGACCAGTGATTTTGGAGAAGAGAGCTTGTATGAGGTTAATGTACCTCTTTGGTACACCTTTCATTGACAGACACTGCCACAGAACCTCATGATTTACCAAGTCAGATGCCGCATTTAGGTCCAGGAAAACAACTATTGTAGGACGCCTAAATGTGTGTCTGTTTTCCAGGACCTGTCGTAGTGTGAAAATGTGGTCTATATACATCCACGTCCAGGTCGGAAACCAGCCTGGTTTTCTCTAGTCTGCTCTTCACGAGCATTCGTTAAGCGTCGAAGTATTACTGAGGCCAATATTTTAGATACTATATTAGTTAGACTTATTCCTCTGTGATTGTCACAAGAAGACTTTTCTCCTTTCTTATAGATTGGGACAATCAGTGATTGAGACCAGTCGGATGGGATTACGTCCAGTTCCCAGATTCTACCTAAGATCTCAGTCAACCTAGCTGCTAAAACTGGACCACCATCCTTAAACATCTCAGGGGTCAGTCTATCAGGACCTGCAGCTCGTCCTCGTTTCAGATTTCCTAACGCTTTTTCAACTTCATTAAGACTAGGGGGACTTACGTCGATTTGCCATTCAGGATGACTGGAGATCGTGGGTAACCGAAGAGTGGCTCGTGGCCAGTTGAACTGATCCCTAAAGTGTTCTGCCCATCGATCCAGTTTTCTGGATTGAGAATAAATGAGAGTCTCGTCATTTTCTGAGATAGTCTCACTTACACTAGGATTCCTAATACCAGTTTCTTTGATAAGGCGGAAAAGTTGCCTAGTGTTGCCCATCGCCGCTGCCTTTTCCATCGCTTTTGCTTTCCCCACCCACCACTGTTCGCGGTCGTTACGCAGACTTTTTATAAGTCTGCGCCTAAGCTGACTACGCTCTTCATCATGTTCAGAGCCAGGTGGGATGAGTTTTCGGGCATCCATCAGATCGGTGGATGCTACTGAGATCCATGGTTTCATTCTAGCCTTATGGTCAACCTTACTAGCAGATATCACTGCTGTTTCCACAGCCTTTTTGATATCATTCCATCCTGCTTCCGGATGGGAATCGCTTAAATGGTCGCCTAACTGTCTTCCTAGTTGTTCCTGAAATATATTTTTCGCCTTATTATCATTAAGTAAAACCCTAAGAGGCTTTCTTACGGTGTCTTTCCTACGTCCAGTAAGCTTCAAACAAATACGAGCTCGCACTAGGGCATGATCTGAATCCAAACATGTGCCCCAGAACGAGCGACAGTCCTCTATCGAACACCTCCATCGGTGGCTGATGGCGATGTGATCTAGTTGAGTCCAACGTTGAGACGACTTTGGAGGTCGCCAGGTCAACAGATGCTTTTCCTTATGCCTAAAGTTAGTGTTTGCTAAGAATAGGCGGCTGTCTGTGCA